CCCCCCCCCCCCCCCCGGGACGAGACACTAGTTCATCGCGAAGTTACCTCCAAGCTGTGTCATGAATCTTTCCTGACAATTCGCCACTGACCCTACTCCTACAGGGTGAGGAGAGGTACTGTGAGAGTTTAGTACCTTGAACAAGAACGCAAAGCTCCACAACTCACGTAGCTTTCCAGTTAGGCTCAGACAAAAATAATTCTCAGAAATCCTTCTTACTGTTTCTTGGGAAAGCTATCATTTCACTGAATATTATTTTGAAGTCTCTGAATAGCTATGAGTATTCCAAATATTTTTTTATAAAAATCAATTCTTCATCTGTTAACCCTTAAAAATGGATTTTCATTCCCCATTTTAGAGAGACTTAAATATTTTTTTTGTTACATCTGTATGCCATGTTCGAAATTTGACGGAGCATTCACGTCCCCTGCTTCCATATTAGACAGATGTTGGAACAAGGAAAACCATTGCAAAGTTGGAATGCAATTGACCAGTCAATTGCTATACACATAAGCATGAAATTACCGTATAATCGGAGTTTTTGGCTAAACGGCAGAGAAATCAGACAATTTTTCATCAAAATCTTATAAACGTCATCCAAAGTTCAATCCGTTTAATAAAATTTATCGGCATAATTTATCGTTGCAATAATCTCCGCCTTGTGCGTCGAAGACTTTCAAACCACTCTTTATATTGGATTAAAAAAAAATTGTCAAATAGCTTTAAATTCAATGATTGTTCTCATGTGTCATCAAAAGCAAGTGGCGTCAAACGTAATGGTTCAAATACCGTGAACGGTCGCACATTTGCACATTACGTATTGCGTACCTATATTTTCTATGTTATTTCGGTCACAAATGAAACCCTATACAAAGAAGATAATGTGTATCTGCTTTTCCACGAAAGCAGTCACGACATAAGTAGCTGCACCTTTGTCCTAACACTGACAGTCTGTGCTCTCAGCGCAAGACATAAGAGCGGTAAGAAGGAAAATTCATAATTTATATCCTTAAGAAAGAAAAAGTTCCCCTTACTTCTATAGAGGTTTATAGACGCGGACGATTTCACTGCATTCAAAGGTAATGTCATTTTTCAGTTGCTGTAATTATTTTGGCCACGTCTCTGAACGAGCCATACCATTTCCTAGTAATTCCCATCGACCAGTGATATAAGAATAGTACAATTTTCATGTATTGCTAAGTGTCATCGTTATTGAAACCTTTTCGGAAAGTCGATCGACCTTTGGGCTGCACACTTAATACTAATCGTTTTCGCCATAATTTAGGTCTCGTGGTTTAACAGCCTTTTCAGGCGCCTTTTATGTGCATTTTGTAACGATAACTGAAAAGAATCTCCGAAAATACCTGGGGAAAGAGCCAAATTTGATGCATCAAAATTACCGTAAATCGATCGTCAAGAAACCAAATTTCCAGTGATAGATGTCAAGCATTTGTCACGAACATGCGACTACCACGACGAGGATTCCAACCTCAGACTTTTCGACCAATTTCGCAGTCGGGTCATGGAACAACTAAGCTACAGACAATTTGCTCTTTTTTTACCCGAAATTAAAAGTAAATTGGCCACCGCAAAGATTTTCTAAAGCTAACGTTTCAAGCGTTAGCGCTTCGTCGGGGCGAATGTAAACACGGTTTCTAAAGCTAACTTTACGAGGGTAAACCCTCCGTCAAAGTGACAAACAACCCGCGTATTGGCAGCTAAGTCATATGCTAAGTACAAAGGTGACATATATCCTACATATACAGCTAGGATCTGTTGAATCGAAAACTAGTGTCTCATGTGGATAAAATGAGGAGGATTGTACATTTTGTGTTCTGGTGTATCGCGAGAGACCTGTTTGTACTGGGAATTTGAGTTGATCGGTGTTTCCTCGCACTCAGGCTTTCCGAGAAAGCTTATCCAATTTCTTAATAGGAGCGAAATTGTAATAGCCATTCAGCCGTCATGAAATATCTTAAAGAGAGTAAAATATATGTTCCCCATGCTTTCATAGAGGTTTATAGACGCGGACGATTTCACTGCACTCAAAGGTACTGCCATTTTTCGGTTGCTGTTTGTGATAGGTCGTATTTGTAGATGTGCCCATCCCATTTCCTAGTAATTTCCATCGACCAGTGATCTAAGATATGTACAATTTTCATGTATTGCTGAATGTCAACATTATTGAAACGTTTTCGGAAAGTCGAACGACCTTTAGGCTGCACACTTGATAAGTTCATTGTTTGTTCCATAATTTAGGTATCATGGTTTAACAGCCTTTTCAGGCGCCTTTTATTTGCATTTTGTAACGATAACTGAAAAAGAATGTCGGAAAATATGTGGGGAAAAAGCAAAACTTGTTGCATCAAAAGTCCTGTAAATCGATCATTAAGAAAGCAAATTTTCAGGGATGGATGGCAAGTATTTGTCACGAACATGCGACTAGAAAATATTTTAATTCCCCATGATGAGGATTCGAACCTCAGACTTTTCGAACGATTTCGCTGGCAGATCATCAACCAACCAAGCTACACACAATTTGGTTTTATCATCTGAGATTAAAATGTAAATTGGCCACCGCAAAGAGTTTCTGAAGCTAAATTTTCGAGCGTCAGCTCTTCTTCGGGGCGGATGTACTACAGCTAACCTTACGAACGTAAACCCTTCGTCAAGTCGACAGACAACCTACGTACTGGCAGCTAAGTCATATGCAAACATCCTGCATATACTGTTAGGATCTGTTGCATCGAAAGCTAGTGTCTTATGTGGATAAAATGAGGAGGATTGTACATTTTGGGTTCTGGTGTATCGCGAGAGACCTGTTTGTACTGGGAATTTGAGTTGATCGATGTTTCCTCGCATTCAGGCTTTCCGAGAAAGCTTATCAAATTTCTTAATAGGAGTGAAATTCTGATAGTCATTGGGCCGTCATGAAATATCTTAAAGAAAGAAAAATATAAGTTCATCCTACTTTCATAGAGGTTTATAGACGCGGACGATTTCACTGCACTTAATGGTACTGCCCTTTTTTGTTTACTGTTAGTGATAGGTCGTATTTGTAGATGTGCCCATCCCATTTCCTAGTAATTTCCATCGACAGTGATCTAAGATATGTATAACTTTCATGTATTGCTGAATGTCAACATTACTGAAACGTTTTCGGAAAGTCGATCGACCTTTAGGCTAGACACTTAATAAGTTCGTTGTTTTTTCCATAATTTAGGTATCATGGTTTAACAGCCTTTTCATGCGCCTTTTATTTGCATTTTGTAACGATAACTGTAAAAGAATGTCGGAAAATACGTGGGGAAAAAGCAAAACTTGTTGCATCAAAAGTTCTGTAAATCGATCATTAAGAAAGCAAATTTTCAGGGATGGATGGCAAGTATTTGTCACGAACATGCGACTAGAAAATATTTTAATTCCCCATGATAAGAATTCGAACCTTTGACTTTTCGACTGATTTCGCTGTCGGATCATCAACCAACCAAGCTGCACACAATTTGGTTTTATCAACTGAGATTAAAGTGTAAATTGGCCACCGCAAAGAGTTTCTGAAGCTAAATTTTCGAGCGTTAGCTCTTCTTCAGGGCGAACGTAGAGACAGTCACTACAGCTAACGTTACGAACGTAAACCCTTCGTCAAATCGACAGACAACCTACGTATTGGCAGCTGACTGATATGCTATATACAAACATCCTTCATTCACCGCTAGGATCTGTTGCATCGGGAGCTAGTGTCTCATGTGGATAAACCACATGAGGGATTGTACATTTTGAATTCTGGTGTATCGGGAGAGACCTGTTTATATTGCAAATTTGATTTAATCTATGTTTTCCCTTGCTTTCGTGGAGGTTTATAAACGCGGACGATTTCACCGCACTCCGCAAAGGTACTGTTATTTTTCAGTTGCTGTAACTGATGACATAGGCC